TTATGCCCTCTGTTCCTAGACTCTCCCACAAGAAAAAAAAATCAAGCTAAGCGCAGCTACTCTGTCAAGTCCTCTAAGAATCTTCTATGTCTCAATAAGGTCACCTCTCATTCTTCTAAACTCCAAAAAATACAAGCCCAAGCTACTCAGCCTGTCCTCATAAAAAAAGGCCTACGTATCAGGTATCAGTGTAGTGAACCTTCTCTGTACTGCCTCCAATACCAGCATATATTTCCCTATAAAATGGGGTCAAAAATGTTCACAGTATTCCAGGATTGATTGGCTAGCGCCTTATTTTTAGATTCCATTCCCTTTGAAATAAACGCCAACATTCTATTTGCCTTCCCTATTGCCTGCTGAACATGGATGCTCGATTTTTTTTTTTAATGTGCAAGAATCCAGGCAGAATCCCCTTGATTTGTCCATGCCTTTCTAAATGACAGTAATAGCCCTCATAATTTCTTTCAGTAATTTTTCCACTACTGATGTGAGACTGACTTTTCTACAGTTCCTCGTCTGTCCTTCCCTTTCATTTGTATAGAATGGAATTTAGTACTTAATAATAAATAATATTAATGATAGCTGTTCTGTAGCCCCCCAGTACAATGCCTTAAGACAGATAGAATTGGAAAATGGTGGACTGAGGTTCCACTATTTTTGCATTGTCTTGATCAGTGTTCTAAGTCCCACCTTCTGAGATATGTAATAATATCTCTGAACAGGTTGATTAGAAAATATCTAGCAACCTGGGTTATGTTTCAACCAGACCTAGCAACTAATTTGTTAATAAACTCAATACTTCCGGTCTCACCGTCAAGTATCTTGCACTCTCCTCCTCAATTGCAATGTCTGCATCATCCCACTTTATTGTGAAGGCAGAGGCAAAGTGCTCATCAAGAACTATGTCTAGCTCTTTGAACTCTAAAGATAGCTTACCTTTTTTGTCTGTAATCTGCTCCATTCTCTTATAGTATTTTCTTGATCTTTTTATATTTATCAGGTGTCTTCATGTTTTCCTTGATTTTATTTGCCAGAAGTATTTCATGCCTCCCGTTTGATTTCCTGATTTCCTTTTCAATTTCATTCTTGCACTTTCTACACATATATTTGCAATGCTGCTCTTCCTTAAATGTCAACCTTGTGAGAAAACTGGTGTGAATTTACAAAATTTCTATTGATTTTGGTTGAGGCAGAGTGACGATAAATGTTGCGTATTATTCTGGGTGTCACACTTTAGGAAAGATGTGGACACATTCAAGAGAGTGCAGAAGAGGTTTATGAGAATGGTTCCAGGGATGAGAACTGTCAACTATGAAATTAGATTGCAGAAATTAGGATTGTTTTTCTTGGGTGAAGAGAGGTTGAAGAAGAGGTGTGATATTTTCGAAAGCATTAGCAGTCTGGACAGAGAAGGCCTGTCCTGTTCATAAAAGAATCAAGAACAAGAGGGCACAGGTTGAAAGTGATTTGCAAAAGAAGTAAATGCAATGTGAGAGAAAAACAGTGGAGGTGATTGGCAGATTTTTAATTAGTAAAGGGTTGTGGCAAGTGAGCAGGAAACTGAGGTTAAGGCTGAGATGAGACCAGCCATGTTCGTGTTGGAATTGCCTTCTGCTTCTAGTTTTTACCAGTGGTTCAGCCTGGAATGCATTGCCTGGAAGTGTGGTATTGATGGGTTCAGTTGTGGCATTCAAGAGGGTATCAGGTAATTATTTAAATAAAATAGTGTAAAGGGATATGTGGAAAGTGCATGAGAATGGCACTGTGTCATCATGCTCATTTGAATAACCAGTGCAGACACAGTGGACCAAATGGCCTCACCTGCAACTTAATAGTTCTGTGAAGTCATTCAAATTTTGATAAGGTCTTGATTAAACAATGCAAAGTGTGAATAATGGCCTCTTTCCCTTGCACCCCAGTTTTCTAGGACGAATGCCATGCTCTGGATGTGCTGCTTGAATAGTGCACGTTTCCAAGAAATTTAGGGCTGTGGTTTGGCTCTTGGCAGGCTGAACCTCTACTATCCTGATGGGTGAAGTTTTTTGCATCACACAGAAACTGAAACAGCTGGAGAAACTCAGCAGGTCTGGCAGCGTCCTTGTGGAGGAAAGAATTGGATTCAAATATTTGAATTCTTGACATTGTTGAAATCATTAATGTGTGGAGTTGCTTCCAAAAAGCGTAGAAGTTCAAATATTTAAGAAGCAATGGAGGGCAAATATCTGCTTGTAAGATTTAAATTAAGACCCTGGTCAGTCCACAATATGTGAAGGGCTCCCCTGCCTTCGTTGAGCACAGATGTGATGCTGCACTGGATTTTTATCCATGTGTTATAGAAATTAAACCATTTGTGGCTATTGTTCACTTTGAGGCACTTTGCTTTCCTTCAATATCAAATTACACTTTTGTTGTTTCTGATTTAAATTAAAAACAGAAAATTTTTTTTTGTGTTTGCCTACTGTTAACATAATTTGTATTGTCATGTAGTCTCTGTAATTAGTGGGGGAATAATAAGATTGAACTGGGATTAGCCATAAATCTTTCCTCCTTATTATGCTAAAGACTTTGTATTTAAGTATAAGGTGCATTGTGAACTTGTATGTTTTATGGGACAAATGTCAAGTATTGTAATTTTTTCAAGAGATTATTGGAATTTACTTTGTTCATCTCAAAGCTTGCAGATCGGTTTTTGTGTGTCCAGGAAATTGTACAGTTAACTTTTAAAGATTTTAATGTGCATTCCTTAAAGATTACCAAGTGCACAACCAACTTATTTTTAAAATGCTGGTGAAGTTTTAAAATTTATCTTCTGCAGGAAGGCCTTTGCTGGAGGTGTTCAAGGAGTTAACGCAGTTTCCTCAGTGAAGAACAAACGCGAAGTAGAGACAGATAATCCAGATGATGCATTCTTTGGAAAAAAGCCAAAACTTGAAGCTGTGTCCACCGAGGAAATCAAGTAATATTTTTAAAAATTTAAAATATGTCTGAATAGCATGATGTCTGTAGTTAACAGTATTCAGTGTGAAATATTAGTAAGTTATAACTGTCACTTGCTATTTCAATTTGTCTCTAATTGTGAAATATGCTGAGCTTGCTTGGTTAACGACTTTGGGCCAGTAATCCAGAACACAAAGTTAGCGTTCTGGGGACACGAGTTCAAATCCCACCATGACAAATGGTGAAATTTGAATTCAGTAAAAAGTCTGGAATGAAAATAAATCTGGCCTCATGATGACCATCATCATGATCATGTCATGATAAATGTCATCATTGTCAATTCTTGTAAAAACCTATTTGATTCAGTCATGTGGAAACTTGTCATCCTTACCTTGCCTTGCCTATGCATGACTAGGTACATAGAAACAGGAATAGGCCATTCAGTCTGTTGATCCTGTTCTACCATTCTGTGAAATCATGGCTGATCTGTGGCTTAATGCCATATACCTTCCTTTGGCCCATATCCCTTAATACCTTTGCTTAACAAAAATTTATTCGTCTCAGATTTAAAATTAAAAACTGATCCAGCATCCAGTACTGTTTGTGGAGGAAATTTCGAAACATCTACTATCCTTTGTGTTTAGAAATACTTCTTACCATCTTTCTTGAATGGTCTGGCCCTAATTCCCAGACTGTGCCCACTAGTTCTAGAATCCCCAACCAGTGGAAATAGCTCCTCTTTATCCACCCTGTTTTTCCTGTTAATATCTTGAAGACTTTGATCAGATTTTTTACCTTCTAAATGCGAGAGTAAACAGACCTAATTCATTCATCTCTCCTCAAAACATAACCTCTGATGTCCAGGTATCAGACCCTCTGGGCAATAGGTTCTGCCTAGCCAGCAGTGTTCATATTCTATGAACACATTTTTTAAAAGTCACTTTTGTTTTCCTGTGAATACTGAAATATGTTTGCCCCATGATTATTTACGAACCTTCTGTTTTTGCTAAGTGATAACCTTCTGCCACACATTCATCAACTTTTCTATTCATATGCTAAACGGTAAGTTGGTATGTGTTACGGGACAAATTCAGCCAAGACCAGAAAATCTTTTTCACAAGGCTCCTGAACAGAGTTCAGAGTTGTTGGTTATGTGCTGCAATAGAATTAACATATCTAATGGCTTGTTTTTTTACATTGTTTTGATTCATCATTGGTACATTAGTGTTGACTTCTCATGTTATGACTGTTAATTGTAACATTCAGGAGCAGCATGACTTTTAACCTTTTGGTAACTTAGTCTTGCAGACTTGATGCCTAAGGTCAAGGTGGAACAAGTCGATACAGTAGAAGGCTGTAACCACGAAGTAAGTGCCTCAATTAAAATGATTTTTTTTCTTTGTTTTCTAGGCTTCAGTATTGACCTATTGATGAAATTAATTTTAAAACCTTCAGTTTTAATGCGGAATATTTTTGAATTGCGTGTGTTGCCAACTATGTATTTTAGTAAAAGTCTAGTTGTAAAGTTGCATATTGTGTACTTTGTAATGCCAGGCACCATTTCTTGACTGAGAAAGTACAAGACTCCAATCATCCTTTCATTGATCATTCAGTGAAGTTGAATTATGTTGCTTTCCTCACTTTCCACCCTAGTCGAGAAAACGAATAAAGCAGCAGTACATTGCAGGCCTTGGAAGATGTGTAAACGTAGATGCCTCGTATGACTTGTGTGTTGAACTTGTTCCGAACTTGGATTGAGATTCTGGACTATGTTTTGTAAATAATGAGTTCTGAATGCATTTTGCGTATTAAGGTTTATGTGTTTTTTTTACATTACTTTGTTAGAACTTGTCTTTCTTTACTAATTACTGATACATTTGTGGAAAAAAATACTCATAAACTAATACACTGTTAGCTTAAAATAACTAGGATGATATAGGCAATCAGCAGCAATGCCTTTTTTTGACGTAGTTAAAGTTCTCCTAGTTCTTCTGTCACAAAGTCTATTCAGCAAAAAATAATTATTGCCAAAGCAAATAAGGAAGTATTTTGAGGAGTGAGTAAAACTTTAATCAGAGGAAACAGAGTCTGAGAAGCATCTTTAAACTGAGAAGGCACATCGATCTCAGCAGAGAGTTTGCGTATATAGTGCAGTTGCTACTTGAGGAAAAGAAGTAAAGCATAAAAGTTAGAATTGGAATTGTTGAAATGGATGTGTTTGGTTGGAGGAGGTTACAAAATAGAGAGTGGTAAGGTCATAAATTAAATTAAAAGGAAAAAAGAGAAATGGTATGTTTGCGGTGTTTCTTTAATGTGCAGTGTCTTTAATGTGAGAGACACTTCTTTGTAGGAATAAAATGAGCAACAGTAGGCCATTCAGTCCATCATTCCTACTCAGCCATTCAACGTGATGGGGTCTCATTTTATCTTTTAGCAACATGCTGCCAGTATCTCCCCACAACCTCGATACCTTTAGTTTCGAGAAATCTATCTATTTCTTGATTAAACTAGTTGGCCTATTAGACCAAAGTCAGCCCTAATACTGTTTTTGCTGTCCTTTTCTTCTAAGAGTTATGGAGAACTTTAATTAACCTAATCAACTCAGGGGGTCATGATGATCATTTTGATCTGTTACACTTCACATCAGAAAAAAAGCATTCTCCGTACGCATGCACTTGCACACGCACACATGTACAAAACTTGTCCATTTGTTATATATATATATATATTCAGTGATTTGACCTCCACAGCCTTCTATGCTCAAATTTCACAGGTTCACCACCCTCTGGGTGAAGAAATTTCCCACCATTTCTGTCCAAAATGATCAATTCTGAGACCGTGACCACTTGCTCTGGATTAGGGAAAGCATCATCATTTCGTTCAAGCTGTCACCTCTCTTAGAATTCTTTGTTTCAATAACCACCCACCCCCGCTTCATTCTTCTGAACATCAGACCCAGTTGACCCAATCTGTCCTCATGGGAGAAACCTGCCTTCCCAGGAATCACCAGGTTCCCTGGTGAACCTTTGCTGCACTCTATGGGCAATAAATCTCTGCATTTGGAATGTTGTTAACGGTTTTGGGCCCCACATCTAAGGATGAATGTGCTGGCTTTGGAGGGGGTCCAGTGGAGGTTTAAAAGAATGATCCTGGGGATGAAGGGCTTGTCATATGAGGAGCGGTTGAGAGCTCTGGGTCTCTATACAATGCAGTTTAGAAGAATGAGGGGGAAATCTGATTTGAAACTTACAGAATGCCGAAAGGCTTGGATAGAGTGGACGTGGGGAAATTGTTTCCACTAGTTGGAGAGACTCGGACCCAAAGAGACAGCCTCTGACTGAAGGGACTATCCCTTGCAATGTTCTTTGGACGAGCGGTGTGGACTCACCAAAAGGCCTGCTTCCATACTGTATGGATTCTATGATCCTATGACATTTGCGATCCTCCAATATTCTCGGACTGTTTCAGAACCCACTGAATTTTGGGAGATGACAGCCAATGCATGTACTATTTCCAGCCTACCTCCTTTAATACTCTGGGATGTAGAGGATAAGGACCTGAGGAGTTATCAACTTTCAGACCCATTAATATCCACTCGCCTTTTTTAAAATACTAATTTCCTTCAGTTCCTCCTTCCTAATTGACCCTTGCTTCCTCAGCTTTTCTGGGAAATTATTTGTCTCTTCTGTGATATCAGACTAAAGTTGTTTAATTGCTCTGCCATTTCCTTGTTCTTCATTATTGAATCTCCTGGCACAGACAGGAAGGGGCCTACATTTGTCCGCACTCATTTTTTTTTTAAAAACTTCCTTACACAAGCACTTTGGCTGTTTTTATATTCCTTGTAAGTTTGCTCTCATCCTCTATTTTTTTCCATCTTGATCCTCTTGAGCTCTAAACTGCTCCCAGTCCTCGAGGTATATTTTCTGGTAACCTTATATGATTCCTCTTTGGAACTAGTATTGTGCTTAATTTGTTTTGTTACATGTGGTTGCACCACTTTTCCTGTTGTCGTCTTTCATCTGAAAGGAATTGTTGCAGTGCATACATTCATTCCTTAAATATTAACCATTGCCTATCCGCTGTCAAACCTTTTAATGAAGTTAGCCAGTCTATGCAGCCAACTCACCCTCATCCCTTTGTAGTTTCCTCTGTTTAGATTGATGTGACAAAACTGATATTTTTGTGGTACTCCTGTGTTTTGTAGAACTTGTCAAGCTGCTGTTAGCTTGATGATTGTGGCAGAGCGTGATATCAGTTTTCCGATACATTTCCAATACATATCAGGGCTGTGTCTTGGTAAGAACCTTGGGGTGGGGGAAAAATATGTTGTACAATTTAAATGTAGGTGAGATAGATGCATCTGGTCGGTGCGGACGAATTGGACTGAAGGGATTGTTTCCATGCTGTATGACTCTACGAGAAGGTGCTGGAAGAATCGGGTGGGGTGAGAAGTGGAGAGGACAAACTAAAGTGACTTTCAATGTTGAAGTTTCATAGAATTAGAATTAGGTTTTATTGTCATGTGTACTCAAATATAGGGATACATGAGTACAGCAAAAAGTGTACAAAGTCGCCATTTCCAGTGCCACCTTAGGTAGAAAGATACTTGGGGACAACATTTTAGGTATAAATTTTAAAAAATTTAAAAAAGTTATAAGATCAGCTTTACAATTCTTATAAAACTAGGTACAAAGATACCTAGGTACAAAATCTTAGGTATGAATTAGAAAAATAAAGAAATAAAGGTAGAAGTTCAGCATTACAATCTTTCTAAAGTGGACAGTCCGTGCTGGGCTTCCTCATACTTAGACCACCTGAGTTTGAGCAGGGCAGATGATGGAAAGTATGGTGGCAGTGAGAACTTCAGTAAGTAAGACTTCTGTCAAAGTTATCTGAAAAAGCCTTGATCTCTGAATATATCAAAAATAAGGCTGTTTCACCTTGGGATATAGAAGGCTGAGGTGGTGTATGTAGTTGAACAAATGAAAATTGGTTTGTGGTAGAGGTGAGTAGTGAACTGACTGTAAAAGTCCTTTATTTTAATACTAACTGCAGATTGGACAATGTTTTCATGCCAACTGTATCCCCAATCAAGGTTAAGTAGAAGTGAGATTCCAGAACTAAAAGCTGTGAAGCTAGGCACAGTTCAAGATACATTCATGAGATTTCTGTAGATTAGAGAAGTGCATTCAATTTGCTGAGTTCTGAAAAGTGACTGGAGTCAGTTGGTGCAGGAAGCAACAAAACCAAGGTCAATCAACAATTGAACAGAATGGAATTGACAAGAATAGCCATGTGAAAAATTCCCAAAAGCAAAGCATAAAAGTAAGGACAAGGGGACAATCAGTAATCATTAGCATTTGAGAATAATTGTTTTTGACTACTTCTTTGTAGAAGGAAATGTGTTACTTTGGAGGTATATGTTAAATATATCACTTCACTTCTGTATGTTAGATCCTGGTTATCATACCATGAGATGGACAGACTGTTTGTTTCATCTGTCTCGCTTCTAATACCAACACTTATTTGCCTAATTTCAGGTGGCCATTCCATTGTCAGATGAATATCAGCAACTAAAACCCCGTGTTGGAAAAGCAGCCAAGGTACAGTCCATTTGCACTTTCTACATCGTTAAGTGTTTGTTCACCTTCTATTCGGCCAATAGCAATGAGCATTTATTCTGCTATCAATAGAAATTGCTGGAGAAACTTAGTAGGTTTGGGAGCAGCAGAGGAGAGAAAACAGAGTTAATGTTTCGAGTTTGGTGACCCTTCTTTAAGAGTGTTATTTAAATAGTCATAAGTTGGGAAAAGTTGATACACAAAGGGATCTGGGTGTCCTTGTGCACAGGTCACTGAATGCATAGAGGTGTAGCAAACAGTTAGGAAGGCAAATGGTGTATAGTTGTAGTTGCTGTAGTTGTACTTGCCACAGAAGACATTCAGCGAACATTTACTAAGCTGATTCCTGTTTTGGTAGATTTGTCATACGAGAAGAGATTGTCTCCCCTGCGCCTGTATTCACTGGAGTCGAATGAGAGGGAATCTGACTGGAACACACAAAATTCTGACAGGGCTGGACAAACGGTATACATGGATAATGTTTCCCCTGACCGTGAGTGGGTCTGGACCCAGCAGTCATGGTCTTAGGATGCAGAGTAGATCATTTAGAACTTGGGCAATGGGGAGAAATCTCTTCATTCAGAGAGTTGTGACTCTGTAGAATTCTCCACAATATAACATGGAAGAAACAGACTCGCTAGAAATAGATTTCTAGACACTAAGGGCATCAAGAGGCATGGGGAGTGGGAGTGAGATTATGGCGTTGAGATCTCTAGAGCATCAGCCACAATCATATTGAATGCTGGAGCAAGCTTGATGAGTCAAATAGCTTACTCCTGTTTTTTTGTGTCTGACATTAAAGCACAATTTAGTTGACTAAAATTCTTCATTTGTGCCCTCGATGTGTTAACTCAGACTTCTTCAGCATTGGTTCTGTTTCTAGCACAGAAATTCATGAAAACATTGGACTAGTTGCTTTGGTCAGGTGGTACAATCAAATTGTAAAGCTGTTTTGATTGTACTTGGTGAAGACCATCTTAATCAAGTTTCTTTTGAAATTTTCTGCTTTGACTCTCTCTATAATACATTCTGATAAACATAGTGTTTTGGGGAGTTATTGCAAGGGCACAGTCAAAGGTAGAATGTTATGTTGGTTTCTAAAACTAAAAGGTAGTAATGACATGCACCAAATAGGGAGACCTAATACCACAGGAAAGTTTTATTCAAAACTCTGCTCACGACAGTGTCGTTACATTGTGCCCATGGAAGACACAATAGGGATATCTTTTCACTGTTTGTGGCTACAATTACAGGACTGACTGTAAAAGTCCTTTATGTTAATACTATCTGCAATACTTAATATTGGTCACAGGATGGTGCTCTAACAATACACTTCCTGGAGTGCAAGAGAAGTTTTGCTGAAAGTACATTGATTCTGCTCTCCCTGGTCTGTCAGAACCATCGCGCCTTGACATTGAGTGGCATCACCATTTCTGAATTCTCCACTCTTAGCATACTAGGGGTTGTTATTAACCAGAAACTCTACTGAACCGGCCATGTAAATACTGTGGTAGCAACAGCAGGTCAGAGATTGGAAATTCTGTAGTAACTCACCTCCTGACTGCCCAAAGTCTGTTCCTCATCTTCAAATGAGGATTGTGACGAAATACTCTCCACTTGATTGGATGAGTGCAACTTGAGCAACACTTGTCGGTGTACTTGCACCAAATGGACTGCATTTTAACGAGAGCAATTAGGAGTGAGCAACAAGTGCTCGCCCAACCAGCGTCTTCCACATCTGATGAATGATTCTTATTTTAGAAGTTAACGTTCCTAGCACCTTCATCTGGATGTTGACTTCCACATTTCTCAGTGTTTTTAAAGTTTAATTGCTTTTATAGCAATTCATTTGCTGAGAGATAACCTGGAGATAGGAATGGCCTTGAATAAATGCAGGTTGGTTTCTCAATCTCCATTTTAACTTCCTGTTGACAACACTTGACTTGTATTATCATGTTTTTGTCGCACAATTTGTGTGAACTTATTCCTCATAAATACTTGTCAAAGTACATATAGAAAAGGATCTGCCAATGTAATCACAATTATTGCACAGTCGTGAACGTGTAGATGTTTCTGCCCTGATTCCCTGAACTCTTGAATCCACTGAAAGAGACATGTCGAGGCAGGTAAATTGTTAATGTTTGAATTTGGCATTCACTGTTTTTAGTTCTTAACTTTGTTTAGTGTGTCTTCAAAAGAATTTGGCTGTCTCTACAATTACAATGCTACAACAAATGAACAAGGAGCAGGAGTCTCCCGTTTGGCCCCTCAGGCCTTCTTTACCGTTTAATTACGTCATGGCTGATCTGTTTGTGAGCTTAAATCCACATTCTTGCCTACCCTCATTATCTTTCATCCTGTAGCTCAACAAGAATCTATCCACCTCTATCTAAAAGTATTTAGAAACCTTGCTTCCATCACCTTTTCATGAGTCTGTGTTTGCTGACACCCAAGAGAATGTCTGGTAGCAGCAGGATCTCTGAAATAAATTGAAGAACGACAAAAACCTAGCAAACTCTTATTGGGGGAAAAACACTTTTAAAAACATGAAGAGAAAAAATATCAATCGAATCAGAATTTTTAATTTTTTAAAAAATTGGCTTCACAATTCACAAGTATATTCATAGGCGCGTTTTTAAAAAACAAAGTCAGACGTGAGCATGTGCACTTGGAATTTCTCATTGGATGCTTAATGTGAAGGAATGCTGTCTTTTGGGAAAAGATTTCAAATGTGCCTCAACCCTCTTAGAAAAATATCCATCTCACATCTGTTTTAAAATTGGCAACCCCTGATTTTTAAACATTGATGCATAGTTCTACATTTTTCCCAAAGAAGAAATATCTTTTTCACCCCTCAGGATTTTACATGTTTCAACGAAGTCACCTATAATCTTCTAAATTTGAATGAGTACAAGTCTTGCCTGTCCATTCTTTTCTCAGAAGATAACTTGCTGAAGATTGTCTGAGTAATTTCCTGTGCATTTATCCTCACTTAAGTAAGGTGACCCTGACAATACACAGTGCTGCAGATGGGGTCTCACCATTGCCATCTATAACTGAAGCAACATATCCTTACTTTTGTGTTCCATATAAATAAATTAAAGCAGTCAGTTAGTTGTACTAATTATTTGCTGTATTCATTATTAGCTTTTTACAATTCTTGAACTGAGACCTCTGATTCTTCTGCATCTCAGAGGTCAGCAGTCTCTCTCCATTCAGATAATATGCTTCATTTTTGTCCTTTCTGGCAAAATGGACAATGACCAACCCTCCATTCTTTAACCATCAGTCAGCCATAATCACCTTCTCAGCCATCACTATTCAGCAAGTTAGCCACATGCTCACTTTTGCCAGTCACTAATTATCATGTGAAATTGAAGTGCAGTATTATCTAAAAATAAAAATGAATGTATGACCTTGATCAATATCAGAAAATAGCCAAAAAGTCATTATTCTTCTAAGTCATTCTTTTTAATTACAGGAATACCCTTTTATTCTCGATGCTTTTCAAAGAGAGGCCATTGCTTGCATTGATAACAATCAGTCTGTACTGGTATCTGCGCATACATCAGCTGGCAAAACCGTGTGTGCTGAGTAAGTGCTCATTCCAGTTTGTTGTTCAGCATCTTGCTTGAATTTTTTGTGTTCCAGATTAGGAGTCCTGGATACTTATTTATTACTTTATCTTATCTATGTGATACCTCTCATGGTGTGTAGGGATTTGCGGGAAAAAGCAGGAGATTGGGATAAGTTAATAGAACTGATGCAGGCATAAAGGGCTGAAGGCCTCCTTCGGTGCCATAATGATTCTGAGATGGTCGACGAATGCGCAGCCACCAATAGTCACACTGCTTCAGTCATACTGGCACGATCATGAGCAGTGCAGTTGGTGCAGACTTTGTAAGCAGAGAAGTAGAGGTTTACTGTGCCTAGTTATCCACTGCAAAAAGCACTGGCAGAATATTGCATAAAAATGGAAGAAATTGCAAGGGCAAGCCACCATTCAATAAGATTGTGATTGATCTTCGACTTTAATTCTACTCTCCCTATGAACCCTCTATCTTGATTCCCAAAATCAGTTGATCACTTCTTTGAATATTTTCACTGACTGAACATTGACAACTAGGTGCCTTCATTTTGTGCTTCTTTAAAAAATATAAAGAAGCAGAAAAAGCCTGTAAATGAGCAGCGGATTCATCAATACCTACCTATTTCAAATGAATTTGAGCTGCCAGAATATGTGCATTTTCAGCTTTTATCTGTTTGCTTTGGATTTACAATTTTCTTATTTGCTTATTTTGTTTTAAAGAAAGTTTCTATCATAACTCTGTTTCACTATCAGTGATGAGAATGAAGTGCAGCAGGTGTTCCCACTTCAGAATTAAGATTAGTCTTAAAATGATATTTTCTCGCTCCATAGATATGCAATAGCACTTGCTTTACGTGATAAGCAAAGAGTTATCTTCACCAGTCCTATCAAAGCGTTGAGCAACCAGAAGTATCGTGAGATGTATGAAGAATTCCAGGATGTTGGCCTAATGACTGGCGATGTCACAATCAATCCAACAGCCTCCTGTCTGGTCATGACAACTGAGGTAAAGTTGATCTGTCCATTAACATTTATTCCTGTATACTTGTCGTATGTTAAGGAAAACAACCTCAGTTTTGCGGTCAGTGACAAAAGTTAATCGATGTCCTTTGATGTTAATGGGTTTTTGTGTGACAACGTAGAATTTAGAGAGCATTTTAGTGCTGATAGCCTTACCATCCATCATTACTTTAAAATATGGGCCAACGTAATTCAGATTATGACCTAAATGAAGATTTTACCTACAATACCATTGACATATGACTTAATTTACAATTAGTATTTACAGATCTGCTGACAATTTTATCGTCTTTTTTGTTTGAAAGTCAGTATAAGTTAGTAAAACTATTCCAGTGGTTTTCAGCAGAAAATCCATCCAATCTCGTGCACATTGGCTAATTAAATCTGGATCTTGGGTGTTGATATTATGGCTCAGAGTTCATTGTTAGACTGGGAGTTAATACCTTTGGTTTTTAGCACATTGAGTTCCTATTCCCAATTCTGATGTTCCATGAAGGTTCTGAAATGAGAGATGAAACTTGGATGTTCTTGACAGCTGCCCATACAGAAGAACTTTGTCAAACAATGCAAGTTCCTGCATTTGTTACTGTAGCCCTGATTTCTTTTCACCTTGTTGCAGAAATTTACTTTATTGTGACTTGTCTTCAATTGGACCAGGTGAAAGTACAGACAATACAATTCATTATTCCTTAAAAAGTTAAATGCTCAGTTATATTTTCTGTTGACAAGATTGAGCAAGATTGCTAATTGTTGAAAACTATCATATAAGTTACTGTACCGTATTTATTACTGTCCCAAATTATGTCATATTTCATGTGAGTTAAACCATATATTTTGTAACAGATTTTGAGGAGCATGTTGTACAGAGGATCTGAGGTAATGAGAGAAGTTGCCTGGGTCATCTTTGATGAAATTCATTACATGAGAGATGCAGGTATGTAAGCAGTTAATTATGTTTAGAAACTAACAATATGCAATTACATTGCAGAGTCACTATACAAAATAGGAGTAAATTAAATAGCAAAATCACAAAGATAATCTCTGAATTGCTACCTGAACCACAAGCATAGTGGTATCTAGTAAATAAGATGAAAGAGTTGAATGTGTGGCTTAAAAAAATCAGTGTTGGAGAAAGAGGCTTTGATTCATGAGCTACTGGCAGCACAGTTAGGGAAAGAGGGAATTGCACTGTCAGGCAAACTATGCTTTGACTAATAATATCATTAGGACTTTAGAGAGCCCTTTGGTTGGTGTTGATGATGGTGGCATGAGTTCAATATTAGGTCAGGATTATGGGAAATAATGACCAAAGAGTGACAGATCATGCAAACATAAGAAGGCACCGGCAAGTAAGGTCAAAAATGGGAAAAGGACAGAATGTCTTTATCAGAATACAGGCAATAGTCATAAAAAGATTGATGCTTTTTTGCAAGGGGGATGGAGCATGAAGCTTGGGAAGTCTCACTACAGCTTTGCAACCATTTGTTACACTACACCTAGAGTACTGTGTGCATTTTTAGTCTCCCCTAATGTGAGGGGGTGATGTGTTTCATCGGTGGCAGTTCAGAGAAAGTTCCCTGCATTGATTGCTAGAATGAAAACTTGAGCAAAGTAGGTCTATGTTCATGTGAGTTTAAAATGAGAGGTAATTTTATTAAGGCAATTCTGAGGAGACTTGACAGGTTAGTTGTTGTCTAATGTTCTGTGTTGTGAGAAAAACTAGAACAAAAGGGTACAGTTTAAAAAATTGATTTGCCATTTAGGACAGAGATGAGAAGGAATTTATTCTGCGCATTGGTAATCTTTGCAGTTCTCTATCCGAGTCAATAGTGTAGATTTGGTCTTTGAATAATTTAAAGCTAAATTATAGATTTTGAATCTACAGGGGACTTGTGGATTAAGAAGGTCCAGCAGGAAATCAGCTAAGTCATGATTTTATTGAATGTTAGAGCAGATTTTAAAGGCCAATTGTCCTACTACTCCTCCTCCCCTTTGCTAATTCCTTACAATTGGGCCTCCCAAAGTCAAGGTTTCCAATGAGGTTGTGAGGTGCCATGTTGGGGTCCAAGCACCAAGGCAGCAATGAATCCATGGGACTCAGTCTGCCTGCTGACCGCTGAGAAACCCTTTTCAGTTCTTCGATTTTTTTTTAATAGTGGGTACAGCGCAACTGGCTGATCTTTTTGCTCTAATTCCTGTTCTGAAAAGCCCAGTGAAAAGCTTTTTATTTGAAAATCCTAAAAAGCCTAAAAAGTACTTCATTCCACCTTCAGCTCTCCAATCCCCTTTACATCCCCAGCTCTCCTACACCACTTGCACCCAATGTCCTACGCCCCTGCCTCCCTTGTCCTTGTACTTCTCCAATCTTGTCTTCTGATAGCTGTCTTGGCTGACCACACTCTGGAGTCACAGCAACATGCCAACCTCTCAGTGAGTTAAAGTTTGTTAAACACTGGTGTCATAACATAAAATAATACTGATTTCATCTTCCCCACCCCTTTCCTGTATCTTTCCCTCCTTTGCTAACACACACAAACCTACTCTTGTATCCTGCATGTATGGAAAGATTTATGATGTATTGAAAGAGACTAACAAGGAAGTAAAATTAGCAGGTCTAATCTAATGTTGACCTTGGACTTCTCAATGTTTTTCTAAATTATTAACGTGTAAGTGCATGCCAATTCACTTTTTGAAGATAAGCAATGAGGTTTAAAAAAATTCTGTGCTGACAAGATTGCAACAGATTGAAGCTTGCAGCTTGGATCGCTGTATCATTGAGTCTTACAGCATAGAAACAGGCCCTTCGGCCCTTAATGTCTATGCCGACCAAAGTATGACAGATCATGCAAACATAAGAATGTACTGGCAAGTAGGGTCAAAAATGGGAAAAGGACAAAATGTCTTTATCAGAATACAGGCAATAATCATAAAAAGATTGATGCTTTTTTGCAAGGGGGATGGAGCATGAAGCTTGGGGAGTCCCATGGATTCATTGCTGCCTTGGTGCTTGGACCCCAAAATGGCACCTCACAACCTTATTGGAAACCTTGACTTTGGGAGGCCCAATTGTAAGGAACTAGCAAAGGGGAGGAGGAGTAGTAGGACAGTTGGCCTTTAAAATCTGCTCTACCAATCAATAAAATCATGACTTAGCTGATTTCCTGCTGGACCTTCTTAATCCACAAGTCCCCTGTAGATTCAAAATCTATAATTTAGCTTTAAATTATTCAAAGACCAAACCTACACTATTGACTGGGATAGAGAGCTGCAAAGATTACCAATGCGCAGAATAAATTCCTTCTCATCTCTGTCCTAAATGGCAAATCAATTTTTTAAACTGTACCCTTTTGTTCTAGATTTTCTCACGACCAAATGAATTCCATTTACCTGCACTTAGTCTACATAACCTACTATGCTCTTGCATTTTAAGTGCTCATCTAAATGCTACTTAAGTGTTGCAAAAGTATCTGCCTCCACCACTTTCCCAGTTCCATATTTCTACCCCTCTCTGGATGAAAAAATTCTTTCTCAAATCTCCTCTAAACCCCTTGCTTCTCATGTTAAACTTATGCCACCTGGTGTTAGACATGTCTTCCATGGGGAAGAAATTCTCATGATCTAATCTGTTTATACCTGTCATAATTTTGTGTATCTCAATCAAATCCCTCTCAGCCTCCTCTGTTCAAAGGAAAACAAACCCAGCCTATCCAGTCTGTCCTCGTAACTGAGACTTTTCATCCCAGACAACATTCTGGTGAATCTCCTCTGCACCCCCTCCAGTGCAATCACATCCTTCAGATAATGTTGTGATCAGAACAGCACACAGTATTCCATCTGTGGCCGAACCAATGTTTTATCTAGTTGTAACTAACTTCCTTGCTCCTATATTCTACGTCCCAGCTAATGAAGGCAACATCCCATGTGCACCCTCTCAACCTGTGCTGACACCTTCAAGGATCTCTATGCTTGTATACCGAGGTCCCTTTGTTTCTTAGTACTCCTTAGGGACGTACGTCTCTTATTAAACCTCCCAAAATGTATCTCTTTGCACTTTTCTTGATTAAATTCCATCTGTCGTTGCTCTGCCCAATTTACCAGCTGATCACTATCAAACTGTAGCTTGAGACCATCCTCACTATCAACATCACCAATTCTTATATCATCTGCAGACTTACTGATTGTACCTCCTGCACTCACATCCCAGTCATTATGTGCCTAAGAAACAGCAAGGATCCCAGCACCAAAGTCTGTTGTACACTGTTGGTCACAGACTTCTAATTACAAAATCAATCTTCCACCGTCACCTTCTGCTTCCCATTTGTAAGCCAATTTGGATCCAGTTTGCCAACTTGCCTTGGATCCCATGGGTTCTTACCTTTCAGGCAAGCATTTCATACAGGATGTTGTGAAAGGTCTTACTAAAGTCCATGTAACTGCACGACCTTCGTCAATATATTTTATCACCTTTTCCAAAAAATTGAATGAAATTAGCCAGACAGGATCTCCCTCTAACAAATCTATGCTGATTATCCCTGATCAATCCCTATCTTTCCAAGTATTGAATAATTCTGTCCTTCAAAGATTTTTCCAGTAATTTCCTCCCAGTGATGTCAGACTTATTGGTCTGTAATTGGTTGACCTCTCCCTGCTGCCCTTCTTGAACAAAGGAACCACATTATCTATCCTCCAGTCATATGGCACTTTGCCTGTGGCCAGCAAGGCATTAAATGTCTCTGCCATGTCCCCAGCAATATGCTCCCTTTCCTCCCATAGCAGGATATATCTCAGCAGGCCCTGGGGATTGATGCCTATTAAGACATCTGATTCCTCCTCCTTATTAATCTTAAAGTGTTCTAGAACCTCATCATCCCACATGATATGCCCAGCTACAATGTCTTTCTCCTCTTTGAATACAAATGAGAAGTATTCATTTAAGACCTCACCCACACCGACTGGCTCTCTGCACAGGTTGTCCCTTTGGTCTTTAATAGGTCCCACTCTTTCCCTGGTAATCCTCTTATTCTTAATATAGTTACAAAAAGCCTTGATCCCATCTGCCAAAGATATTTCTTGACCTCTCTTTGCCCTTCTAATATTCATTTTAAACAACCGCCCACACTCTCTATATGCACAGTACTTAATATATACTTCCTCCTCCTCCTTTACAAAACTCTGGATATCCCTTGACATCCTAGGGTTCCCTGGACCTGCTGCCCTTGTCCTTCACTCTTCGAGAAACATACTGGCCCTGAACTCTCACTCTACTAGTTCTTAAAAACTCTCACTTTGCTCTAGATGCACCTGCAAATAGCTACTCCCAGTCTATGTTTGCCAGATCCTGTCTAATGATAATGATATTGAAATTGACCTTCCTCCAGCTCAGACACTTAATTTCTGCACGATCCTTACTCCTTTCTATAATGACTTTGAAACTTACAGTTATGCTCACTGTACCCAAAATGCCCACCCACTGAAACTTCAACTGATTAACCCAGCTTAATTCCCTAGGGTGAGGACTAGCATTGCCCCCATCTCCAGTAGGACTGTTTACATACCGGCACAAAAAGATGTCCTGGATGCACTTTAAAAAATGCACCCCATCTGATCCTTTCACAGTAAGGTGATCCCATTAAAGTTAGGACAGTTGAAGTTCTGTACAACTGTAACCCTGTTTCTATCAACGTTTCTAATTTGCTTACATATCTGCTCCTCTGACTGTTGGGACGTCTGTACTTGGTTTTATTGTCAAAATTAATGAGGTTTAAAGAACAGTACTTGTTCTGTGGACATTTTGTGCAGACAGATATTTCAGTTAGAACGCATAGCACAGGGAACAGTTTTGGATCTGTTTGAAGGTTTTATTAATGGAGGGCCATTTTGCAAGTGAGCCAATTCTCTGATTACGATTCATTGTACCAAGATGTTAGATTACGCACTGTTTAACAGATTCCTAGGAAAATAAAATTTAAATTTCTTCGATTTTATTTTCAGAGCGTGGTGTTGTTTGGGAGGAAACAATTATTCTTCTCCCAGACAATGTACACTATGTGTTCCTTTCTGCAACTATTCCCAATGCACGCCAATTTGCTGAATGGATCTGCCACCTTCACAAGCAGGTAATTAATGACCGTTTAGTATCCTTCAGTGTAGAATTGAAAAACTGGAGTTCTCTTAATGTTGATTTATAATGTTGTCAAGGAAGATCAATGATCCATGGGATTTGAGGGAATCTGATTGTTCAGAAAGTAGGAGATAGTGACGTTAAGGTAGATATTCTCCAATTGACGGGATGCAACAAATAATGTTGCCTGGAGCCTCTCAAATTCCATATGTATCAATGCTTTGGTTGAAGGAAGAGAGAGATGCATATCCATGTTTGTAGACATATTTAAGTTATTCGTTGGACGTAGGCATTGCTGACTATGCCAGAATTTATTGCCCTTCCATAATTGCCTTTGAGAAAATGGTGGTGAACTGCGTTCTTGGACCTCTGCGTTCTTGGACCTCTGCAGTCCATTTAGTGTAGGCAGACCCATATGGGTCTGGAGTTCTAGGAATTTTATCAACCGACATTGAAATGATGGTGATACATTTCCAAGTCAGAATGGTGAGTGCTTTGAATGGGAACTTGCAAGTGATGGTGCTCCTTGCATCTGCTCCCCTTGTTGTTCTTGATTGTAGTGATTATAGTTTAGAAAGATGCTATCTCAGGAGCCCGGGTGAATGTTGCAGATGGTATGCGCTGCTGCTCAGCATTCCTGCTAATTTTTACCTGCTGCACAAGCCTCTAAAGTCAGTGTGCAACAGTGACTTCTGTAATTGGAAGACAATACTGCGATTGGTGTCCTGGTGCTACTCCCCTTCCGCAGAACATTGGAGTGGCTGTGTGCTTGCGCAGCTATGCATCCTGGAGGGAATGTTGCTCATGTTAATGAGTTGGTGAGGGAGTGAATGTTTACAGATATGGTGCCAATTAAGCAGATGCTTTGTTTTTGAGTATTGCTAAAGCTATTCTCATTGTAGCAAATGGAAATTAATTCATCGCATGCCTACCATGTGTTTTTATAGATAGTGGACATGCTGTGGGGAGTCAGGAGTTAGTTACTCGCTAGAACATTCAGTCTTTGACGTCCTTTCGTAACCATGGCATTTACATGGTTTGACTTGTTCAACTTCTGGGAAATGGTAATGACCAGAATGTTGATCATTAGCGATTCAGCACTGGAAATGCTAGTGAATGTTAAGCAACACAGTAAGTTCAGTAGATAGCAGAAGGAACTGCTGATGAAATGTTGGACGTTATCTCAAAGAGAACTATGCTTTAATTGTAGAGTCCATTTGAAATGGTAAATTTAATGTTGGATGCTGCATCTCAGCAAAATGGCATGCTATAATAGTTGCTATTCATTGGATGAAGACTGGGCCTTGAAGGGTTAAGTTATGAAGTCCATTTGAAGTCTCCAAGATGTTTCATGGGTTAATGCCAAGAAGCTTCCCTCCCAAAGGAGAATTTAATAAGGAAGGTGTAGTCCTAAAATTATATCTAGGAAATTCAAAGTGACAGGGGGGAGAATTTTTGCATGTTGAGTGTGATGGATGTCTGGAATTTGCTCCCCCATAGAAGTGCGTGCACCTTAATTCAAGTTTTCTGAGATTTATGTTATAGGTTATCAAAGAATGTGAATCAAAGACAAGCAGTTGAAGTTGAACTGATTAGTTCTGCTTCTACATACCTTTCCATCTGTACTGAACAACATATGTTTTCTGATAAAAAGGCCATTAACAATACTAATGGATGGGAATTTAACATTTAAAAACATTTTCATATATTCTTAATTTTAAATGAAACACTGGGTGTAAGTTGGGGCTTGTAAAGGGCCTCCTGGATGGCATGGAAGACAGTTGGAAAAGACTGCTTTTCCTGGCTCTCCGGCATTATTGCAGACACCGCTAGCTCCCCAGGAGTTGCTATGTCCAGCTCGTAAGTCTAAATGACGATGCAGCAGATCCAAATTTGATTCATGACACTAGACAAACTGCTTCACCTCTCAATTCCCCATCCTCCCCCTGTCACTGTAGAGTCTCAATCTGCTGAATCTGAAGTCCCACTTCCAGTCTACCCAATGCAACCAGCATTCTTCTTGTCACAAGCATATCACCACCCCGTAGTTGTCACTGGATCTCTTATTGAATTCTTCTGATATTTCAGAAGCAGTGCTGGGAAGGTTTGCTTCATATTCTGATAGACTTGAGCTCTCTTAAGTAGACGACCATGGGATGGATTGATTATTCTTAACTTCATTTCTTGGATATTTTCTGTTCAACATTTACGATGATTCTTATACTTTCCTTTCAGCCCT